ATCTTTGAATGTGTCAACTACTCACTCATTTTCATTTAAGTGCGTAAGATATGACTTCTCTAAAATACATGTATGGGAACCCAAAAATTAAAGATACAATATGGTCGCAAAGACTATAGTTCTACAATAAGAGTAGGCCGTAGCGCCGCTGTTCAGGCAAAATTTTCCCCATGGAACACTGTATGGCGTATGCACGTCTTCATTAGCCTAGTCGGTACGAAGTAGGACGTTCAATCCCATGTCATTGCATTTCCAAGCCAGAGATTGTCTAGGATTGATTCTTCGGCTTTGTTTTCTTAATTGAATTTTAAATAACCATTTTGGGTATATATTTTACATATAAGAGAAAAGGATTTTGTTCAAAGAATGCAAATTAACATTTACATCAAGGACTAAAATAAATTCCGTCGTCAATAACCTAGTCCGTGCAGAAAAGTAAGGCGGCATACCCCATTTCATTTCTTGTCTAAAATAACTTTTAGAATAAAAATTCGAACGAAAATCAAAAATTTCTAAACATATTAGAGAAACTACGGTCTTAGAAAAGGATAACTGATATACAATATGTACATGTATTTGAAATGGGGTTTAACGTCGTACTGATCTGCAAGGATCTAACATTACCGCATAAACCTTAAATGTGCATTTTGTAAGAGATAAATCTGTCCATTGCAGGTGTTTTGTCTGGCTTCAAATGTAATATAAATTATTATTAAGACATTTATTCACATTTCAAGCCAATACTAAACTAGCTAGACAATGGGATTGAAAGGATTATACCAACCTCGTCACCCAAAAAATGAGTGACAATCGAGACTTCTTGTATTATCAATGTATTTGATGATCGGCTATGTCTTGCCAAACAAGCATAACTTCGCTCAGAATAAAGTAATTTGAAGAACGGGCAACTCTTTCTCTTTATCCAAAATCTTGATTAATACGTTTTAAATAAAATTAGACAGCCATTTTCGTTAATTATTTTACACTCTACTTTTGATTTTTGTTCATTTCAAATTTATTTCAAACTGTATTTTCTTCTCCTGGGATTTTATAAATAAAATATCGTTAGCTTAAAAATCATATGAACGCTCACGCAGCGAGAGAAAATCTGAGAAGCTGTTAAAAGTGGAAATCTCATGAATCAATAATTTGAGTATTTCTATACTTCTTTCTCGCGCCAGTTAATATGGCATTATACAATTTGAATTGACAAATGTGAACCTCTTGATATTTGATACAATAACAACATAGTTTCTATATTCTGAAAAAGGTAATTGGAAACAAATATCAGGAATTATACGCCCGACAAATATGATTATAACCTTGCTTGTTGTTGATGATTTTTTGATCATTTTTAAAATTAGTAAAGAAAGACGCGAAACCCACACAGTTAATATTTGAAATTAAAAATAAAAATGATGTTGATGTAAGTTTGTGTTGCATATCTTTGTGTCGTGCAATCTATCCCTCCAGGTCGTGTACTATGTACCGCCAGGCCATATTATACATACCCTATGTCCTGCCACATACATGCTGTATATTATCATGCTGTGTGTACTGTCTCACTTTAGGGGATCGGCGGTGGGCGAGTGAGTAAGATATTGGCTTGCTAACCTGGAGCTTGGCCGAAAACACTTTCATCGGGATTTTCTGGCGTGGTCCGTCATTGTTAGTGAGTGGTGCAGGAGATATAGGAGCCAGGTAAGAACAACGTATAGTCGTTCGGATTGTATAACAAAAAAACGAGAATCCATGTATACTTTTGGCGCGCACTTAAAAAAACACTGACAGTTGGAATTCGATATAAGAGTATCCCTTATATCACATTGTACGACGTATGCCCGTCTTCATTAGCCTAGTCGGTGCATAACAGTAGTACGTTAATAAACCCTATTTCATCTAATTTTGGAATCAAAATACCAACTTATCAATAGAAATTATCTCAGAATGGATAACATTCGCACCTAAATTTAAATGCCAAGTTCAATTTTTATAAGAACCATTAGCAGTGTTATTATACCATAAAACCTACAGCACAATACCAACTAATGCGACCATAAATATTGTATGACAGTCATTATTAGAAATAAAACCTATGTCTGTTTTATTTTCTTTTTAAAAACCCAGCAAAATTGATCAACTGTTTCTACTCAACGACAACCAAATTAACAGATCGTTTGTGTGTTGCCTGTGAAATGTATTATTTATGTGGTTGTGCAAGACCTCGACACCTACTCTGACAGTTGTCATTGTATCTGTCAGCTATCCTGTATAGGTAGCTCGATTACACAGGTCACAATTATATGGAATACAATTACTGCTTATCACTGGGCGACATTTCAACTAGGCTTCTCTCGTCTTTATCAACCACCAACAGAAATGTGATGCTTATCAATAAGTAAACCATTCAACATAATGATGACCCAGTGGAATAAATTAATAACTTAAACATACATTATGCAAGAGCTAAATCTTTCTTTAGGTCTGAAATGTTATCTAAATTATTAATTAGACATTAATTAACCTATCCAGACCATAATCAACTCGAGATGGCATCGCTAGCCTGCGATCTTTAGTAGATTATGAGCCGATTTACTGCATAACTTTCCTTCACGATTTAACGATTAAATGGATAATCGAGACTATGATTTTTATCGTACTGACTTTAGTGAAGAAGATCGAGGCAAGGCGGAAATTTCAATCGCTTAGGTCTCGGTTCATAGTGGATAAATTTGACTGAAATTTTCAGCAAATTGCCTTGACATTATCTAGTTTTTAACTATTATAGTGAGAACGGCCAACTCGTTATCGAATCTCCCATAATGTATCTTTAAAGGAGCTAAATCGCTAATATTTGGGACACAAATGGGTCGCAACGCATATAATAATGTAATGTGAATGTATAGAAACCGATTTACATTCAACCGTTTCTGTTTTTACTGTAATTTCTAATCCGTTATGTTCGGCGAAATACGTCAGAAGTCCCAATTGAATGGCAATCTTTACCGTCTGGTTATTCCAGTCTACACCGATGATATTTATTGCGCATGCTCCCCAGATAAGAATATAGCGTCACCTTTTGACATGACTTGTGGAATATGTCTAGCCGCGTTCTTTGAGTCCCTTGTTCCAAATGGCACTGAAACGCATTATGGTACACGATTCGTGTACCAATGGTAAAATGTTTATTTTGTCGTGAATATTGGATGTCAGAGGCCCATCTTTTCCCTGTAAGGTTACAAGACCAATGTTGATTTGAATTGACAAATAATTCGTGTTTTCAATGTTGAAGATTTTGGATGATATTAAGTTAGAGACTTAGCTCCTTTAAACAAAATGTTTGGTAGAAACCCAGTTATAGTCATTTCTATTGACAGTGATATCAATAAATCCCTCTTTCTTTCGTCTCACTCTGCGAAGATTAAAAGATATGGGATAACAGTATATTGAACGAAACGAAAACTGACACTTGTGAATAGGGTGGTGTTTCTTCAACACCAAATGTATTCAATATGGCAAGAAACAGTGTCGTCTAGTCGTTCGGATGGGACAGAAACCCGACGTCCCTTGGTACACGTCGGTGTGCACGTAAAATAACTCTTGCCAGTTGTAATTCGAAGAGCAATAGGCGGAAACGAGGCTGTCCAGGAAATATTCCCCATGACACAATAGCCCAGCAGGACCTTTAGCCCCAAAGCATATCGTGTCATTTCACCAGAGGTGGGAACCAGTCGCGGGACCTAAAGTTCGAGTCGAGTTCCAAGTCGTGGGCCTCAAGTCCGAGTCGAGTACCTCGAGTCCGAGTCGAGTCCAAAGTCGCTGACTTTAGTACCGAGTCGAGACCAGTTCAAGTTGCCAAATCGTCGGTTCATTAATTCATGGCAAATAAGTTAAGTTTGAGTTATGCCACCTCGCCGAGTACTTAGTTCTTTGAAGTCTGTCATTGAGTCGACTGGCGTGGTTTCGAATCCCCGGTTGTACGTGACAAGGTGTAGGGTCGCCTGTCCAACCTCGTGGGTTTTCTCCGGGTCCTCCGGTTTCCTCCCACTGCTAAAGACCCTACGCGCAAGCGAATTATGTAAATAAAATTAAACCATATGTTAGTCCCGAAATGACCTAGTTTGTGTCGAGTGGACGTTAAACCCCATTTCTCTCTCTCTCTCTTTGAAGTCGCGAGTCGAGTACAAGTCGCGTCTCGAGTCGCAATAAATATATGGGGGGGGGGGGCTAGTGGTCTTCTAGAGTGCCGCGATTCGACCTCAAGCTGGCCGGTCACCTCTGGCTTGCGGTTGTGGTTTCGATCCCTGGGGTGAGCGTATGAGGCTTGGAGATAGGGGCGCCTTCTCAAACTCGTGGTTTACTCCAGGTTTCATCCCACAGGAAAGACCCCTGCGCGTGCGCTAAGATAATAAATGAAAACAAAACAATTTGTCTGCGAGATCACCTTCGGTGATAGCGGACGTTTAACACTGAGAAGAAGAAGCAATAAATATTTGAAGTCGGTTCTTTGATGCGATTTAAGTCATACTCGAGTGCGAGTGGCGGAACTCGTCTTTCCACCGCTGCATTTCACGTATTAAAGCAACATAGGTCCTTATTAATATACAATGTACAAAAAATATAAATGCACATGTGCGCAGATTGGGGAATCTCGTAGTTGCTAACGTGACAGGGCGACGCGAAAATCGTTTTGAGTATATCCCCATCTCGAACATCAGAATTTCATTGGAAAGGTGTTAGTATTTTAAATAAATATATTTGTTGTTTTGGGGATTACAAAGAGGCTGGGCTTGGTGTGGTATGTGGTTGAGGGGTCTGTGATTAGTGGAGTATATGGTTACTGGTTTTGTAATTGGTGGGGTATATAGTTGATGGTTGTGTCATTGGTGGAGTGCATTGATGGGGTACCTTGTGACGGCCAGATTGTCTATATATATATAAACCTAACTCACGTTAAATCTTGCAGTGTCTGTATAATCACTGAGTTCATTTAAACTCATGGTAGACTTGGTTGGTTCAGACGCTTTAACTAGGTCCGGTTTATCCAGTAAAGAACTCTTCATAACCTGAAATAAATAATGAACGACATAAATTAAAAGCAACGACTCCTTGCACACTACCGGTTAGAGCACACTTTTGTAGAAAACATAACTAGAAAAGGTCTCCTCGGTGTTCAGCAGAATCTTTGTTTTACATCGTTAAATTTTGAAAAAAAAACCATTACATCACTACAATTCCAAAGACGGTTCGTCTAATGTAATATATCTAATCACACTGTCTACCCTCGTGAATTTTTTGCAGGTCACTCGGTTTCCCCACACTGATAAAGATCTCTATGTGCAGGCGAATTATTGAAATAACATAGTACCATAAGTTATTCCCCAAAATGACCCCCTCCTGTTTCTCCCCATTGCTAAAGACCCCTGTGCACAAGCGAATTATATGTTAGTTCCGAAATGACCTACTTTGTACTGCAGAATCACCATTAACGGTCAATGATCTATATACACTGTGGAATAGAGTCAATGATCAATAAAAAATATGTATAACCATATCGACTAAGGAACCGTATGGTGTATCAAAAAATCAAATACTCGATAGCACAATAAACACTGTTACTATTTACTTATTTATTTACTAATTGCTTGCATTTGATTTCAGGGCTAAAATTACAAGTTGTGAGCCAATGCCGTGGCAAGTTATTAATCCATTTCATAACTACTTCAAATATTTAGGTGTGTTTGGAAGCCGAGCGGTTCAATCGTTAGACCATAAGGTCTGTCACTGTGTCAAGTGGTGTGGTTTCGATTGCCCGCTTGTACGTGACGAGGTGTAGCTAAAGACCCATGCGCGCAAGTGAATTATTGAAATAAATAAACCCCATTTTGGGTTGACTTGGAAGCAACTGTCCGCTCTACATTTCAACGTAACCAACCCCTGAACGCTCGTATCCTTCCCTCTCAAAATCATGAATATTCACCAAAACTTGGTAGACAGTCAACAAAATTCGCCATGAAAAGGGGGGGGGGGGCGGGGAAAGGGAGAGAAAGATTATACATAACTTTTGCACTATATTCGCGCAGCGGAGGAATTAATGGTGTCCCGTGTACAGAAGAACTCGAGTTATTTTGACATGCTATATTGCACTACTTTGTTTTTATGTATGTTAGATCTTTAAGATCAGTTTTACTATTATTTAATCTATAGGGATTCCATAAATTGGACGTTAAAAAGGTCATGTGTCTCATAAATCAGCAATAATATTTGGTATTACAGGATCTAGAGCCACTTTGACATGTTCCCCATTAAGTCATATCCTATAGATGTTCACGTCATACTGAAGGGTTTAACACCTTACTTTTCTGCACTGGCTGGGCTAATGAAGACAGAACGTTTCCTGTGCAGTCCGGGCCCATGTTGCACTAATTTGCCTTCATATATCTTTAGGATCAATTTTACTATCATTTAATAGTATCATATATACGTCCACTCTATAGGGGTTGTATCAATTAAACTTTTATGTAGATCATAAATCGGCAATATTATTTTGTATCATATTAATTTATCATATTATAATCAGTCAATCGGCTTTTAAGTCAATTAAAAACATATACATAGAAAGGAAAAGCTATTCAACTAGAACAAGTTTATATTCAAATCACAGAATACGGTCTATTAATATTACCGTCTTCGTTAGCCTAGTTGGTACAGAACAGTAGGACGTTTAACTCCATTTCTATCAATATTATCACCAGGTGAGTTTTACAGTCGAACTGTTTCCTGCCTTTCTGTGATACGACGGTGTGTTGAAACGGATGTAAACACTACTAGTGATGCTACAAATGAAAATAGGTCCATCAACACAGTATGATCAAGACATTCTGGACAATATGTCGGTGCCTTTACCGCCCATTATTTAGTCGTGGAATGTCCGGTTTAATGTTAAAGTTGAATATCATGTTAATTTCCTTTCTAAAATAATCACTTACTGACTAATGCATGACTTGCGATTATCTCGCAAATATTTCCGAATCACTGAATACCTAACCGTACGAAATACGGAAGACATCCTGAAAAATATTGCGTTGACAGCCTCACTTGATTGTAAACCAGATAGTTTAATTCTAGAACCAGGACTGTTGAGTTAAAATTCACAAATGAAATTTCTTGATCGTTTTCGTGTTAATGTATTTTTTAAATAATTAATTACAGGCTATGTACATGAATTACGATTACCTCGAAAATAATTTTGAATCATTGATTATCTTACCTTAACCTTGCTAATTGATGCTACATGGTGTCCTAACCCTAACAAATAATACTGTGGTTACGAATAAATGTAATCAATTTTCGTAGGATAACAATATTTGGAGACATAAATCATATTTTCGGAACACATTTACGGTATTCAATACAAATTTAGCAATAAATTATCGTCTATTAAACATGGTCAAAGAAGTCTCTATTGGCGTTACTGCTGATCACAAAGTGCTGGCTGACACTTTACGGAGGCTTATCAAGGGAATAACGTAAAGGGACGCAATGAAGTGCATTGCTTTTTTTATTTTGCTCCCTTTCACCTGAAAACAAAACTATTTTCCATGCGGTATCCGTCGCTATAATCTTAATTAACCATATCGCTCAACCAATGTCAAACATATATATCTGCTCAAATATGCTGCAAAACCACTCTAGCAAGATACACAAGGTCCAAAATTTAACATTCCTTAAGCAAATAATTATAGTGTTTTTGTGTGCCCGAGGGATCTGTTTCCACATGCAGCATCCGAGGTCACCGTATCTTGTTACCATTATATCGTTGTCATTACGCTGACCTGACAAACTATGTCGCTGAGCTTTATTCACCACTTGAGAAATTGTATACTAGATAATGGTCGTAGAACTCCAGCCAGTTCAGGGAAACCGAAATAAGAGGTTTTAATTTTGGTGGACACGACTCGGCCTCAAAATAGAACATATTACATCTAGGTCTACAAATGACAAGCTATCTAAATTAAATATCCCTTTTCCTCAATACAATTTCATCGGTCTGCTAAACCCGGGACCGTTGAGATATGTCGATTGACTGCGCTTCGCTTAATGAAGTGTCGAGCCAAATCTACTTCATTTTCGAATGAATCCATCTAAACAGCGGGGATAATATTAGGATAAATCCTATGGATGGTAAATATTATATTATAAATGATTTTATAATGGATATAAAAACACAACTCTTAATAATTTACTCCACTAATTATAGACTTTGAACGATGTGCATTAAGCTATTACGTTGTTTTAATGTCATTTAGTGATTGACCTGAAAGCAAACATGGTAATACTCTATAGAATATAATTACCGTTTATTTCAACCAGTATTTTTCTGCTTTAATATCTGAATTAACTGATATATGATGTCAGCCGCTTTAACTCACATCTCTCCTAATTATCAATTCAGCGGCTTGCACGCATTTCCCTATCTAAGTCAACGGCGAGAACCCATCCCTATCTAAATCAACGAAGTGCAACCAACCCTATTTGAGGTATCGACTTGTACACATCCCTATTTAAATCATGCAAGCACTCACCCCAAGTCAGGTGCTTGGAATAATAGGCATACGTATATAAATGAATTCAGAACTTACCCGTGATCCTTTACCCATATCCTTCCTCAGTAAAAAGGTCAGATCTGAAGGCTGTAGTATTAATTTATGTGGACCTCTTTTCATCTCATTGCGAGCAATAACACGTCTAAAAAATAAACATATTCAAAACTTTAAAAAAATATAAGCGCACCCTTTCATGTGTACGATACCTGTTTATACATACAGACATATTGATATATAATATATTATTTTGATACTGGTTTGATGATTAATAACGGTAGTTATTCATTTAAATTTATGAGAAAAAATACAAAATCACCATGATTCAACCACATATTCTTTGTTTTAAAATATGTCACACAAGTATCGGTTATTTAAGGTAACTTTAGCCGCTGTTCGGCAATTAGCTTTGATTTAATGATATTTCTAACAGTTAGCATGATCATTAGTTTGTTAAAAGGATAACCCTAGTCGTTTCTGGTATTTTATTAACTATGTCATTCATTTTCAACTATAATAAACTGGTTCATATCGCCATTATGTAAACACGTGGCTGGATTTAAAACTATTGTTTATGCACAGCGACAGACAGTTTCTCTCATAACGCAGAAACGCTTTTACTTTGGACTACGGATTGGTGAAACTATTTTAATAATATATATCTGACCTAGTGGTTGCCTTTGTGATGAATACGTGACATGATGCAAAAACGAAACTAGTCTGATTTAGCTACACTGCACCCCAGTCATAGATATTTTTTCTCCTCTGATTTAGCCCATTATAATTTTCACGGATGCGAAGATGAACGTTAGTTATTTAGTTTATTCCAATCGAGGCTGATGGGCTGCTGACACTTCTTGTCTCCCGGAACAAGTCCGACGATCCGAGAACCAATCCACCGCTGTAAAATCCAATATCTCTGTAAATATGAATCTTGACTTACCTGACACACACAAATATAATTATACCAATCACAACAACAACCACACCAGCAATAAATAATATTACAATATATACGGTCTGAAACCCTGCAAACAGAAAATATTAACAGCTATAAACAAATGGCAAGCTGGTAGGATGACTTTTCCTGATGGATAAATCTGCCACAAGTCATTATTCTATATACATAATGTTTACTTAAGTAATCAGCCTGTGGTCACTAAATAAAGTAGGTGTTATTTCACTAGGATGTCTAAAGCGTGACTTATAAATGAAAACACACCACTAACAGCGATGTAGTCACGCATTAACAATATACGTTACATTGTTTACAACAAATTACACACCTGTTAATTAATGACTACTGTCTAATTTCTAACCACTTTCTATACTAAACTTTAGTTAGAGTAATGATCACTTCTATGATTTTAACCCAAAAGGCAAGAATTTCCATTCGTTAAAGACATTGGTTCATAAGTGAAGGATATCATTTTCACAGTGAACGTCGTTCTTTTTACATGTTGCCATCACAAGTATCACTAATTAATATCCTTTCTACGTAATATTGTGTTTAGTGTACAAGTTCCATAACAACGGAATAATTTTCTTCTACGTGCAAACAAGTCTACAATAACATTTTAAGAAGAAGTTGAGAACTGATTTACTGTATATAAAACAAACGTGCATTGGACCTATTAGACATCGATGACCACAGTGCTATATAAATGTTTATTAACAATAAATAATAATATATATTTTTTAATAATAAAATGTTAATACCATTGTATTGTCTACTAAATGTTTTTTTTAGTAATGTGTTCTGGTTATCCCTGGTTTTAAGGACGTCGAAGAACATACCAGTGACAATTCCTAAATGTTTTGAAACTATTTGTAGAACATCTTCCCTAGAAGGGATAAAGTTTCCGCGATACCAACAACGGGAGTTCCAATATTTGCAAGACACATATACCTAATATCGTTGAGCCACATGTCTATCTCAAGTCACAGAAAAAAAATGATTATTTGTGAAAGTTTGGAGTATTTCCTCCGGAAAATCGTTGGCTACATCAAATGTGTACCAGAGGAAACATGTACTAGATGAAATGTGTTCTAGATGAAACGTTGGCTAGATGAAATTTATACTAGATATATGTACTTGAAAAAATGTGTACTATATGAAACGTGTGCTACATCAAATGTGTATTAGAGGAATAGTGTGCTACATCAAATGTGTATTAGTGGAATCGTGTGCTACATCAAATGTGTATTAGAGGAAACGTGTACTAGCCATGTGCTAGATGAAATGTGAACTAGATGAAATCTGTACTAGACGAAACGTGCGCTAGATGAAATGAAATGAGGTTTAAGGCCCTGCTGTTCATTCGGTGCTGACATGGCTATAAAAGTCAGGCATAAACCATGCAATGGGCTATGATGGACATTTAGCCAGGACAGCCGTTTCCGTCTACTCGTTTCAAATTCCAACGTGTAAACAGAGCCCAGTCCTTCCTGGCTAGCCCTCACCTCATGAATGACCGACAAGAGGAAATCAGGCTTGATAATCCTGCGCGGAACTATCTCGGAATACTACTGGATCGAACCCGGGACTTCCTGGTTAATGAGTCAGAGGTTTACTCACGGAGCCACCGTGACTCTCTGTAGTACTGACTCCCAACCAGCACCCAAAAACTGAGAATATCAAAGGAAGTGACAAAGACCTTTACAACACCAAGGAATTCATGACGTAATGGAATGTTAAGTAAAACACGTTGGATCCCACGGTGCAAGCGGTGTGGGTGTTCCATAAAAAGCAAATAACACTAAACATAATCATAACCTCACACAACACGCATCGCAAAATGTAACTAGTCAGAGTATAGAAAAGTAACTTCCTAAAGTAAATACTCTTAACCCTAACCCTTCACGACATATCCATATCGCCATTATAGCATAGCTGACATACACGTCCTTTTAAGTGCTACACAAATCATATATCATATTATACACAAAGAAAAGTTAAGCACCCCCTGATATATTTAAACATAATAAAGTAACTCTATGTTCAGATTGTAATATTTATATTGATTATAGCAAGAACAGTGTTTCATTAAAACGATATGCCCACACAGGTGTGACCATTATGTATAATATCGACTTGCAACGCACGTCAAACATCCATCTCACGCATTTCTCAAAATTCAGTATGTTACCACTTCCAATTTGGTTATTTAAACCTGGTGTTTTAAAAAAAATTATTCATTCCCAGTAAAGATGGCACGACGACGAATATCAGAAGCACAAAGATGGCAAATAATCGGCATGCATAAAGCTGGGATGTCATTCAAAGCTATTGGACGTCAGATGGGCTACCACTATACTGTAGTCAGCAGACTGGTGCGAAAACACACACAAACCAATAACACAACAGGACATCCGACGTCTAAATGGAGGTATAAGATGCAGGGGTGGTTACATTCAGTACTGACCTTTGAACAATAGATATCGTTAAGTAACTTAAATGTGACGTTTTGAAAGTGAAATGTCTATATTATCGTGCTTTTTGAATTGTGAAGGCCAATAATTAAAATGGACATGTTTTACTGCAAAAACTGTCCTTGTGATATTGTGCTTAGATAATCATTAAATTAAAATATCACTTCGCATTTTACACTGTTTCTTACAGCCAATGGTATGTCCTAACAGGTCGCCATAGCGTTCGGAAGATAATCTTGTCAGTAACTTTGTGATATCTGTTGTAACATTTGTCATTTCGAAAAAAAACATGGGGGGGGGGGGCTTAACTTTTTTCTTTGTTTATATTTTCTAAGAAAGTCAAAACATAATTATTTTTATGTCTTTTGCTCAATAGGTTGTCAACTTACTATTATACGATCATAGGTATCATTCTCCCACTTATAAATCCTTGACCCCGAAAATAATAACACAATTACCCCCCTTGTTTTTCTATCCCCCCCACATGGAATAGCTATCTTCAAACATTTGAATTTGAAGTTGAAAATGATATTTTGCCAATTTCTCAACTGGCAATAGTGAATTATAGGAATAATAGGATTATTCTTTAACAAGGTAGGACGTTTTATAGATACCATCTATTTTAAGGCTTTATTTTAATACATTTTAAAAACATAACTTAAAAATATGAAATTGCAACTTTAAATCTAACACCAAACTGATATAACCGAGTGATGTTGATTGCTATCGATGTATTAAACAATTAGCACCAGTAATATTATATAACCAATCACATTGACAAACAGGGGAAGAGAGTAGGATTGGGTCAAATAAAACTTACCGCCACCGCCTGCAACATTTCCGTTAATGAGAACATTATATTGTTAAATGTGATCACTATATTCTAAAAATACAATTCTCACTCTATCCCTGCCAATATATGATAAAACTGTGAATGATAAACTGGTCTTTATAAATATATAATATTCAAATAGCCCCATAAAATATATCATGTTTTATACTTAATCCCTAAATATCTGCGGACATCCAACTTAAATTCGAATTTTAAAGCATATTATATTCCATCTCTATCTCATTCATTATAGTATAATATAAATGTTATAGATGATTTTTATAAATAAATACCCTAAAATAAACATATCCTGTTTCATATATAATTCCTAAAGATCCGCGACAAATAAACTACATTTTTTAATATTCGAATAATTCGAAATTTTTAACCACCCAATTTCCTCGTATTCTATATGATACAAATGTAATTCGTAAAATGAAATTTTTAAAATATAAAAATACACATATTTCTCCTAAAAATATTCAACATGTAACTGGTATAGAAACGTTTACATCACCAGGAATGAACCTAACTCTAACGATAACCCGGCACGGTCAGAATATAGACAAATACCAGTATACACTAAAGGACCAAGGTCTGTCGACAACAGGTGCAAAAGTATGGGTAATTTTGATTCCCTTTCGTTCCACGACCCTTATTAAACAGAAGCTATTATTATTGAAATACAAGATCATCGAGATTATCCAGTCACACTGTCAACAGTTCTAGAACAACAAGGTATATTACTTCCGGTCTGAAGCCAATAGAATGTTGAGCTTGGCCACTTCTCAAAGAGGATATATCGGTCTCATGTGCGTAGCAGACCGATGAGAAGGCTAAGATGGATGCGATTACACGTGTGTGTGGTGTACTCATATGCGTGTGTGTTCTATTTATCACGTGTTTCCGGTAATTGCGAATTTCTAGGTTGACAATAAAACTTACTTATATATATAGTGACGTTATTAGTGAAATGAAATGGGGTTTAAAGTTCGCCCTTTCTTTCTGAACCAACAGGGCAAATGATGACGGACATTGGGCATGTAGTGTGTTATGGGTGGATCTTTTTCCCGGATAGTGATTTTTTCGCTCGCCAACGTTGCATCGAACCCCAAGTGTAATGGGCGGGAACCACTATGGCTATGTGTAGGACGTTGGCTCGCTAACCTGGAGGTCCCGTGCTCAGTCCTTGCGTTGGTCGAGAAAGTTCATCAGGATTTTCCGGTGTGGTTCCCACCTGTCAGTGGTGTAGAATGGAGGGCCTGCCAGGGGAAAACGTATAGTCGTTCGGATGGGACGGAAAACCGAGGTCCCGTGTACACATTGGCGTGCACGTAAAAGAACCTTTGACAGTTGCCGCTGTCAGGGCAAACTTTCCCTCATAGCACATTGCATGGCTTCATTAGCCCAGTAGGACCAGAACAGTTGGACGTTAAACCACATTTCATTTCATTTTAGCGTGTGGGGCCAAGGTTTGTCGTTACATCAGTCCTGAACCAGTGGCAAGTGGATATTAGTCTTGTAATTCCCGAGGAACTGTCTCGGGCAACACTGGGATCTGTTGGTTTTTCTGGAGGTCAACCACTCTTACTACAGAAGAGGCGATTATTGTTTTATTACTAGACCAAAGCTATAGAACCACCTGATAGTGCATATTGTTATTATTACTATAACATATCCATATCACCATCAATATGTATATTATGTTGTTATTAATGCTATAACATATCCTTTACACCACCAATATGTATAAATAGTAAG